GGGCGGCTGGGCTGCGGGGGCGTTGGGGCCGCTGTGGCGCGGCGAGCCCCCCGCGCGTGAGGTGCAGGAGTGTGGGGGCTGCCCCTCTCGTTCCTTCAAGTGTTGTCTTCCTTCCCCGTGCCTGTTTTCTGGGTCACGAGCTCTGGCCGTTGCCTTTGCAGAATTTTGGGGTGACGTTGCTAAAGAGTTTTACTGGAAGAGTCAGCATGTGGGACCCTTTCTGAAATACAACTTTGATGTGTCGAAGGGGAAGATCTTCATTGAGTGGATGAAAGGGGCGACCACCAACATCTGCTACAACCTCCTGGACAGAAATGTCAACGAGAAGAAACTTGGGGACAAAATTGCTTTTTACTGGTAAATTTCTGTTTTTATTATGGTGTAGAACGTGTGTAAATATCATGCCAAAGTGTACAAATGGTGTTGATTTCTGCTGAGGTGAATTAAAACATGGTAAAACCTGGGAGGCTTTAATCTTACAGCAGGTGTTTGCTTTCCGTGCGTTTGAGAAGAGCTGTGCAATGGAGCTTCTCTGCCCATCCTGGGATGCACTGAAGTGGCCCAGCGCAGTGGTGAGGAATTTTTGACTTCCAGCTCTGCCTTTGCAGTTGTACGTGCTAAAAGCTAAGAGCAGTCAGATGGTATTGAGGCAGGTGCCGCAATTCCCTTGTGAAGTAGGTAGGTGTAGGTAGAGACATGGGATGAGGGACAGCTAACATACAACAGCAAAAAGCAAATTAACCCCGGATCTCCTGTTTTCATGTCTTGTGGGTCTGGCAAATTTCCACTCCTGTGGCAGAAAGGTTCTTCTAAAACCTGAGGTTATATATTGATTCCTTGTACTTGAACATGGATAATGCCATGGCGCTCTCAAAGGCTGGCTTCTCTATGCAGTCTTTGCGAAGAAAAGTTAACTTCTAGCCCTATCTGAAGTATGTTTGTGGTTTTTTTACCAGAGTAGTTACTAGTGTTAAAAGCCATGTGAAACTTGAAGTTTTCATGTTGATGCAAAATGGGTTTCACCAGTGATGTCCGAGATCCAGAACTAATGCTCCCCTGCAGAACTAGCTCAGCTGGCACCACAGCTGTGTCCCCAAACTGAGAACAGTGCTTTGCCCACCTGTGTGTTTTGCTGTTTCCCTTGAACTAGCATGCATTTATGTTGCATGGGTATGACTGTATGTGGCAGTACAGAAGCAAAATTAAATGTACCGCTTGTTAGGATGCAATAAGTTGTTGGGTGATGGTGACTCCCTTCAGTGGAGCAGCTGGAGAAACCTTACTGTCATTGCAATAAAAATACCAGATGCTCTAACGATTAACAACTGTGCTGCTCTGAGTGATTTTGTGCAGCTGAAGAGTCCCCCCCCATGTGTGGCTGGCGTAAAGGTGACTAGGGGCTACCCTGCTACAGGAAGGAACATGTTTACACCAGTGTAGTTCTGGCTGTGACTGTAAAATTGGGCTTGTACTGGAGTTTCTATCTACTGCTTCAGTAAAAGAATTACACTTACTGCATAGCAAATAATCGTATTGGTGAGACACAGGTGAAATGGTGGAAAGTATTTACTTCCCTGCTAGTTAAGTACATTCTCTAACTCACTCAGATGTAAAATGACTGCAGCTTCTGAATGAGAACTCCTTTGTAAACCCATTCAGGTAAAGGTGTGCTAGCAAACAAAGCCATTTGGCAGGCCAGGGCTGGCAGCTGTGCTGGGATTAATGGACGGAGTGGGTACATTGTTCTTCTTGCATGTAAATCTTTGGGTGACAGTTAGGCAGCAGCCTACAGCTTAAATTTGGTCTTGAGGAAGATTTTTCTTGTTAGTTATTCTGGCAGCCTTTGTGGGTGTATTTGTGATGCTGAGCAAAACTTGCAGTGGATATTAAAATGGTGGGTGTCTGTCAGTCGTGGTGTTCACAGTGCTGAAAAATAAGGTGTCTCTTCCTCCTTAGCAGACAGTCTTCCCTGACTATTTTGGGATAAACTCTCCTGGCGTGGTTCTGTCACAGGTGACCTGGCACTGGGGTGTCTGGAGCTGTCAGCTGGGAATGTCGGTGGGAGGGACGGAAGAGGCATGCTGAACACGTGTGCGGTACTGATACGCGAGCTTGTGGCACTGAGGTCTTGAGGAAGCAGAGCTAAGGGTTCCAACTTGTTAAATTATTCTTCTAGGAGCATGCACATGCCCCTCTGGACACGTGCTTTTCTTCAATAACAAAATGTTAATTGTTGTCTTCTTGTCCTTTCACATTTGAACAAGCCTGCCTTCCTAAAACACTTGAGACTTGTCACACTGTGAAAGGTCAAAAAGGAAATGAAAGCCTCCGAAAGCCAAAGGGGATTCCTAGGAAAAACTTGGATATTTTAAATGGCCAGTTGCTTGCTTCTAAGAATGTCTATTTTGCTAGATAGCAAAAGGTGCTGAGATTATACCAAGGTGTCAGTGACTGCGTGGCGCTGAGAGCTTTGAAAAGATACAGGATCGCAGTCTTTGCTTTCAGAGAGGAGAAATTAGGGAAAAAGTGAATAATGTCTCCAGGCATTACTGAGTGTCTCTGAGAAGAGATGGGTCCTGACAAAACTCGGAGCTGCTGTGCGCTGCTGGCTGTGGCTGTCTGGAGTTTTGCATGGACTGGAAGGAACTGAAGCAGCTCATCCGGATCTGTTACGGCCAAGCTGCTCTGGAGGTTCCTGCATCACTGCTGGTCCAGGACTGCCCAAATCTGCTCCGCTCAGAGGGTCTAATCCCAAGCCACGTGGGATTACTCCTTCAGCACAAAGGGCAGTACATGGGATTGCTTCATACTGCAGAACTTGTACATAGGTGATGTTTACTGTTGCAGTATCATCCTCTTGGTGCTGTTAGGACTATGTAGTTCAAAACGACCATCCTGAGTCGGTAGGAAACACTTGCGTTTTCCCCGTTGCCTGTTTCACTATGGTATCTCTTGCTGCTTGTGGATGTTACAAGTATCTCTGCCCCTGCTGCTTTTGATTCCTCTCTCTGTTTGGTATTGCTGATGTGGCCTAAAAAGGAACAGAAGCTCCAGGAAATGTTTCTGATAAAGTGCTGCTTTCAAAAGTGGAATCTCTTTCATAATTGCTTGAAAGGCTGTAGTCAATAATGCTGTGCTTACTGTGCAGGTAGATACCTACGCTGGCTTTTGCATGCCTTGCAGGCAAAATGCACTGGACAAACTAGCTGGAACTCTGAGGGCACTTGCAGGGGATTTCAAGCAGTGCTGAGGACTTCATCTGTGGTGGGTAGCGTTAATTAGAGCAGGAGCACAGTATGCCTTCACCGTGCTGTAGGCATACCTGTGTCGCATGGGCAAACCCTTAGTTCTATGCTGAAATGCTTGTTGATAATCTCATAAACATCAGTGTGGGCAGCTTGTGGAGGTAAAAATATAACCAGGTGGGAATTAAAAAAGTAAAACACTTATTGCAAAACTCTCTCTAATTAGACCCCAGGATGTGAAAGTACTTGGATGAAGCCTCTTCTCTATGTAACCTGTGCATAGCTGAAGCACTAAGTTCTTGCCTTTGTTTCTCAATCCAGTCAGCCCAGCTGCAGTGCTGGTGGTGCCTGGTGGGACCAGGGGACAGGGGCAGGAGGTACAACTTGGCACGCTATTTTTAGCCTCCCTGTAGCCTAGGTGCATGGGCTTAGCAGGGTGCTGCTGGCTTCTGCCATCTTTGGAAGAGCATATCAATTTTCTGCTTTCTTATGCTTGCATATGAAATAACACATCTAGAAAGGAGGAACAAAGACAGTAAAGACTGCCAGAGCTTACTGGAGCTTTGTTTAAACAAAAGAATAACTGCCTATTCCTTCCATTCTGGGCCTAGAACAAACATGACATGCAATGATAAAATAGAGAAGGTGTGGTTTTTTTAGTGTACTAAAGGATTTAGGGGGTGTAGCTGTGATATTTCTTCCACTAAATCTTTCTGTAAGGAAAAAAACAACTATAGAGCGTGTTTTTAAAAAAAAAAAAAGCAGAACAGTACTCGGGAGCGCTTCTGGAGGTTTTTATTAGAAAGCTGGAAATACTTTTTGGACAGCAGCCTTCCAGGGAGGATACAGATTGTCACACACTGGTTTGGTCTAAATGTGCTGCTGGGGCCAAATGGGACAAGACCACAGCTGCTGGTTCCTGGGGCCCCTGCGGGCTGCCAGTGCACCTCGATCTGGTGGCTGTCCCTCACCATGGAGTGCTTCATTCTGGGATGTGCGGTCCCAGAGTCGAGAATGAAGCCAGATGAAGCTGTGTTTCAGTTGTATTTCTGCTGTAAAGGTCTGGACCTCTTCTGTTTGCAGAAATAGTCTTGCCTTAAACTGCTGAGAGCAAAGTGCTTGGTCTGCATAATCCAGATCAGCACCGTGTTTTGTTTTTCTCTTTAGACACCTTTGCAGGTATCAGTCGTCCATTACTGTCATATGCACAGATGCTGTGACTGAGGATGCTGGCTGTTAACATCAAGACTTTCAGAAGTGCTTAATTGTAGTCAGCTTTTACACGATGCACGCAGCTCTGCTACTCCCGCTGGCTTCAGGACTTTGGAGTGTCCTGCGCCAAACTGACTCTTCATTTCTTTGGTAACTTCCTGGATGACTTGTCATAATTCCAGTGATGCAGCCTCTTTCAACACTATTCTGGTAGTGAAAGCACATCCCTAAATAACACAGGTTGTTTAAAGAACAAAAATTCACCACTGGGAAGGTTGCATTTACTGATACACATTTGCAGGCACATGTCTGTGGGCTGCTGAGAGCAGTCAAAGCTATGTTGCAGGTGCTACCGAACAGCCGTACCCAATGCTGCTGTTCCCCTGTTACTACTGTGGAGGGATTGCTTCCGTAGGGGAATCTGAGTAGGCTCTGCAGCAGTGAGAAGCGTTACGGAAAAGTTACCATGTGTTTGGTTTATGCTCACAGCACTACCAGGCTCAGCACAGCTCCTTTCCCTGATGGGGATTCTCTGTGGGAAAGGGGGTGGCCCCACTCAGCCCTGAAAATGAGAGGCTTTCTGGGGTGCATCCTCAGCAATCCATATTATATCCCCATTGCGTGTGCTGAGAGTGGAGTGATAGATTGGTGGTCTTGGCAGATACTAATTATGTTGGAAGCATTGTTGGACAGTACAATGCTCTGCTTCTGGAAATCAGGCAGATTAGGTGCACCTAAAGTAGGTAATAAAATATGTTGAATGTACTTGCATTTTATTAAGCTATAGATCTTGTACCATCCTTCAAGGGCAATGATAGTTGTAGCTTCCCATCACAGAAAGTGTAGCTGTCTTCTGGTGGGTTTTGTGAAATCTTGCAGCCTGGGAGGGGGTTCACAAAA